CGGAGGGAGAGAACTGTATGTAAACAATAGTGCCCAGCAGTGCCGCCAGTCAGTGCTATCAGTCAGTGCCCATCAGTGTCTCCTATCAGTGCCCATCAGTATCGCCTATCAGTGCCCATCATTGCTTCATATCAGTGCATCATCAGTGCCTCCTCATCAATGCCCATCAGTGCCGCCTCATCAGTGCAGCCTATCAGTGCCCATCAGTGCTACCTGTCAGTTCCGTCTCATCAGTGCCCATCAGTGCTGCCTATCAGTGCCCATCAGTGCTACTTATCAGTACAGCCTCATCAACGCACATCAGTGAAGAAGAAAAAATTACCTGTTTGCAACATTTTATAATAGAAAAAAAAATGTTTTTACCATATTTTTGCTTTTTTTTTTTGTTTACAGTACAAACAATAAAAACCCCAGAGGCGATTAAATACCACCAAAATAAAGCTCTATTTTTGCAAAAAAAAAAAATAAAATATGGGTACAGTGTTGCAAGCCACACAATTGTCATTCAATGTGCAATAGCACTGAAAGCTGAAAATTGGCCTGGGCAGGAAGGGGGTGAAAATGCATGGTAGGTAAGTGGTTAAAGTGGTTGCAAAGGCTCAAGTTTTTTACCCTCATTCAATCTATGCATGAAGGTAAAAAGTCTTCTGTGTATAGCAGTCCCCCTTACCCGAGTCCCATCCCAATCCAGTGATGTCCACGAGAGCCTCAGTTCTCCGGGGACTCACACTCCTGACTGGCTAAGGGAGCCATTGTCTCCCACTGCTGTCAATCACAGCCAGTGAGCAAACCCAGAGGAGGGGGTGGGGCCGAGCCACGGCTCTGTGTGTGAATGGACATGAAGAGCCATGGCTCGGGTGCCCCCATAGCAAGCTGCTTGCTGTGGGGGCACCCTACAAGATGGAGGGGCCAGGAGTGCCGGTGGGGGACCTGATAAGAGGAAGATCCAGACTGCTCTGTGCAAAACCACTGCACAGAGCAGGAAAGTATAACATGTTTGTTATTTACAAAAGAAAACCCCAAAAAACAAAACAAGACTTTAGTATCATTTTAACTTTAGTGTGGATGAGAATACTGTAACTGGTTCAGAGTGCAGTTTGAATGGCTAGGGTTTGGTGCAATGTCTCCTGAGAGGTACCTCTTAAACTAAGCAATGGGCAAAGGTCTCTGTGTAGCAACTGTAAAGCGGCAGCCTTTAGACCTAACTCTTCAACCAGTTGGTGTTGAGGCCCAGTTGTACTGTTGGAGCACATGACAACAGTCCCAGTCAAACCTGCAGGCAGAAATAAGGCTACTAGGCAGCTGTGTAATCAGTTCCTAAAGGGCTTAGTTTCTTTAGTAGGAACAGGTTATGGCCACAGTGCCCTTGTACCAGCAGCAGTCCCTCTGGTGAGTTGTCAGTTCCTCTGGGTTGTGAGTTGTCCTCAGTTCAGTTTTCAGTTCACTTGGGTTGCCTGGGATTTCTCCAGTCCTCAGCACAGCAGCATGGACTATATACTGGCAGTGGCTTAATCTCTCAGCGCACAGGTCACATGTGGTACTTTCCCGGATATAGTCACAGAGTGCTATAGCAGGTCCTTATGCTCTCTCACTACACGCTACTCTCCCCAACCTTTGGTGAATTTTCTGGGACAAGTCCTGTTTTCCTCCTCCTCCAGGACTCAAGCACCATTACTTCCAATGGGGCAGCACCCTTGTTCCGTCCTCTACATGTTCCCTGTGTGTAACTCGACATGCAGCTAAACCCCCCTATTCTGCAATAAACCAGACAGAATGCAATCTTGAAGCTTTATTAACAAAACATGGTGGGGTGAAACTACTGTATTAGGATAAACAGATAAGAAGTACATATAATCAATATATGAAATATACAAACACAATGAAATGATTAGATTGTGGATGGCAACAAGTGCATGCTCACCAGCAATGCTGTCTGTAGGGGACGTAAGTTCATTCCATGACATGTGCCGCAGAGATTTAAAACTGCCTCCTTTTCCTCAGTTCTAAAAATGGAGTCTGAGCTCCCAAGATGCACATGCTTCGCCTTCCCAGAACGATTGATGATGGGAGCTTTTATTAACCAAATAGACTCTGGCCTCTGCAAAATAGTAGGTCTACTCCAGGCTCCATCTAGTGGCCACATTTCATATTGCAGGCTGAATTTCCCTGCTGGAGGCAGAACAACTCCTAAGAGGACTACATGTCCCAAGATCCTCCTCCAGCCTTTCCCAATTGGAAACCACTTCCAGGGGGCACATTCTGAGGAACACCTTGCACCTCCTGGCTGCAAGCCAGACAAATACAGCCCTATTCCTACTAGAAAGGCATTAGCACTTAGGGAGAGTCCCGTCTTCAAATGGGGACAGTCCTAGTGAACCAGGCCAGAATTTAAGTGTCACCAGGGGCGGACTGACCATTCGAGCACTCGGGCACTGCCCAAGGGCCCGGGGTCAGGAGGGGGCCCCATGAGATGCTGCTGGTACCTTTCATTGGCTTTTTCATAGGCTTTTTTGGGTGTGGGTGAGGACACAGGGGCCCCATGATCCCCTATTGCCTGGGGGCCCCATGAGTTGTCAGTCCGCCCCTGAGTGTCACTAAACCCTGGACCCTGCATTCACTATATCTGGGCTCCCACAGTACATGGAAAATGGAAATGCAATTATTTTTGTAAATATAAACTGCTAATTATCTTTTCTCATCAGCAGTTAGAGCAGTCTTGTGAATTATATCAGTGTCCAGCTGAGCATTGGTTAAAGCTTGTAGGAGTTTTCTTTCTGCTCTAGGAGGATGCAGAACTCCTGACTGTCACAATCGCGGCTTCACACCCCTAGCCCTTCTCACCAAACTCGTGACCGAAAGACTAGCCGATCTAAAACTGCGATGTCACATGCGTAACAATGCCACACCCAGCTGCACCCTGCACAACGATTTTCCAGCTAATTGGACCACAATCAATGTACCGGCAGCCTGAGCGATTGTTACTGGGTCAGGTTAATTACGCAATTAACCCTTCACACTGCCACCACCTCCTTTTTGTACAGAGAAAGAGGAAACTTGGCGATATCAGTTATAACACTATAATGGTTGAGGTAATCGTCTAAATAACATGGTTATACAGAGGGTTAAACAAACACAGTAGCGTTCTCTTTAGAGGCAGGAATTCGTAAATTGCAATAAAGCGCTATAGAAACAGTTCAACACTTTCAGAAGGAAAGATTTATTACTAAAAGGTCAAACGGGTGCAATAAAAATATTTACAGAAAAGATGTAACTAAGATATATAAATATACAGAGACCAACGACACAGCAAAGAGATATCAGAGAGAGGTGAAAGGGTTAAGGTACTTGCCAAAGTCCTGGGTTAGCAGATCCAAGTTTCAGAGCAAAAGGGCACGGGTCTCCCCAGGTGGTATTGATGTTAAAATGAGAGACGTATTCAACTTAACTCTCTTAGGCCTGACAGCCCAATTTGTAGTTACCCAGCAAGGGTGTCTCTGACGTCAAGGATTAATACCCCGTGTAGGGTGTGGAGGTCTGGGTGTCGACCTAAACTAGAGCCAAAATCTGGTGTAGTTCATATTTGGGCTCATAACTTTTCCTATGCACAAGTGACATTCCACCCTGTGGGTAGATTATTATGCAGACACGTCTGAGGATTGATTAGAGATGAAATATGTAATTCTATACTGAACGGTTCACAAGATCTACTTTTCTGCTTTCCTATGTATTCGAGACAAGGCAAGTGACCCATCAAATTGTTCGTCTTTTATTAGCCAATCTGACGATATGTCTGTTTTTTATGTAAGTCTCTTGTATTCCAAGATATGAGACATAGGGGAAAAATGGATTTGAAAAGTGTTTATCTGATTCTGTCACATATGCTGAGTTAGGTTTATTAGGTTGGAATCTCTTTTAACTCCTGGGAAAGCTTGCCTTATCTCTTACGAGGTGTTACAATTTGCAGGTTTTATGGACAGGGAGGCCCCGGCTCCCTTGGGGGGCTTTATAGCTCCTATGACCCTTCTGTGACACACACACTGGCCAAATGTCACTGGGACTCTCAGAAAGGGAGGGGGGAAGAATGACGGAGAAATATATTTGTCAGGATGGTTAATCCCTTTGCCAAGATGGAGGTTGAAGCCAAAATGGTTGAACCGCGTCCATCTCTGGGTATACGCTGTTACACTGACCTCTGCCTGGACAGTGCTGATTGGCCCTGTGCTGATCACATGCACTCTCCCAAGGAAAAAAAAACCCTCTCTAGCAATGCACACAAAACTGAGCATGTGCATGTGGCTACGGATATAGTTTGTCTTATCAGGAGATAAGATGTGGACATTTGAACAAGAGGAGGGGCAGAGAAGACAGGATCAAACAGCATTTTTACACAATGCAGAGGATTAACCCCTTAGGTTCCACAGTGAGTATAACAAGCATGCTTTACTGCATATACAGACTGATTTTACTGTTGTGGGTTTAGTAACACTTTAAGTATCCCTCCCACCATACTCACCTTATTACATTGGGAATTTCTAACCAACTGGGAAAGGGAACTTGCTCTCTGTTCCTGTAAACTGATAACAGCAAATACTACACTCAATTTCAGCCAAAAAGCTGAGAAGAAAGACAGTACCATGTACTTATTTATTACAGGAATTTTTTTTCAATTTCCCCCAAAGCCTTGAAAAATCTCTGTCTGGCTACCCCTGAGGAGAAATCTCCATGTGGAGGCACTTTCACACCACTATCACTTCCAGACTTCTCATGTGCAGAGCTCTGACTTACTGAGCATGAGCAGTGGGCTTCTACTAAGCACGGCCACCATCTTTGCTGTGGGCAAATTGCCAGAAAGTGATCAGGCCAGAGCCCAGCTATCACCCGAGATTCAGGTGCCGTAGGGCTGTGAAATCCGGGACAGCACAAAGCCGTGTACTGCAGAATGCTGTATGTACAGAAAGGAGGATACATGAACGGGCGATTCCATGATGTGCCTGTGTGAGTCAGTGCGGCTGCCGTAGTCGGAGCGGAGCTTGGTCACCATGGTAACGGGGCGCCGCTTGTGTTGACAAGCAACGTGAAACTCCCGGGAGAGAGCGGAGAGCCTTCGTCACCATCATGCCGGAGGTGGCAGCGGCCCCGGTCTTGGGGACCCCCGGCCGGTCAATGGCAAGAAGAGCGGCGGGCGGCCTGTGGTGAGGCTGGTGGTGACCGATCCCGAGCTGGGGGAGCGAGAGGTAATACCGACTACCGTATACACACCGAGCTGAAGGAGGAAATACCCAATGTCGTATATACTGGATGTGAGGGGCAGAGATAGTCCCAGCCAGGCCTGGAACTACAAGTCCCAGCAGGACATGTCCTTCATTATATATATATATTACACCCAGGGACTGATCATTCAAGCACTCGTGCACCGCCCGAGGGCCCGGGGTCAGTAGGGGGCCTCCTGAAATGCCCCTGGTACCTTTTTCATAGGATTTTTTCAGTTTGGGCAAGGACACAGGGGCCCCATGATCCCCTATTGCCCGGGGGCCCCATGAGTTGTCAGTCCGCCCCTGATTACACCCACCCCTGTATGACCACCCACCTAATATTGGGTGTTTTCCCCCCAACAGCCCTGACCCCTCTGGACATGGACATCACTACACCTCTGAAGGTATTGTATATGCTGTGGTATTTGACACCGAGCCATCAGTAGCAGATCCTTCAGGTCCGGTACAGACTTGTTTTTTCACCACATTATTAAGTGTTCTTGTATGGCGACCACTTACTGTTATCTCACATATATGTTCTTATTATTATAGCCAAATTTACCACCCTAACGCCTCCCACAGTTTTTACACTACATAGACAGTAATATACCGAAACGTGCGGATTGTTTCCGATTGGTGTGCTATTACTTTGTGGAACGTTTCGCCGAATGGTTCACGAAATATCGGCGTTTTTGTGGTGAAATTGGTCCCATAGGAATGAATGGCGGAATGTTCAAAACTAGAGTGGGAGCTGACAAAAGCTAGAGTGAGAGCTGAAAAATCAGGACATGATTTCCAAACTGCCATCACTCCCTCATTTTCAAGCCCACCTACACAAATCGTATATCAAACGTTCAGCTGTCCTTGCTGCCACTAAAAATGTCCACGGCTATGCCATAGTCATGATAGTTTTCACAATATGACCATTTGTTTGCAACTCACGCCGCCCATTGACATTCATTGAAACTCCACTGTAGCCACCTCAAATTTGAAGGGCAATTTCTAAACTGCGACTGTGCCTTCATTTTTAATATTTCAGAGACATACTTTGCATCAAAAGAGAATAACAGTTGGATAGCACACACCCCCTATACTCTAATAGATGGCAAAACAAGTCAGCCTATACAATCCTTCACCCTGAAGGAACAATAACTATATAATGCAGCAGACTTAAATAAATAAATTATGGTGAAAACTGAAAGTCCAAAAATAATCCAACAACATGTGAAAGGAGATCCAAATAGCTTAGATTCCAGAGGGGTTGATGATGGATTCCAGATATTCCTCATATACCTCAAATAAAACAAAACCTAAAGATAGTGTATTATCTTAGGATAACATAAGTATGCCACTCGTGCTACATGCAAAATAAACAAGTGCCACAGCAATCGTGAACATACAACTAAATAAAATGAACCCACTGCACACGGTAAGGTAAAAAATGCATAATTACCCCAAGGTAAACATAACCAGCATTGAATCCATATGTGGGATGGAGCTTCATCAAAATGCCATATGCTTCTCTGGATACTCTCCACAGACCCATAGACAGATCAGGGGTCAGTATTATGATCAAGTAAAAACACAATTTATTGTATCAACTTACATAGAAGAAGGCTGAAATCGGCATCCATAATGGGAGAAATAAAGACTACAATCGGCGTCCACATAGAAAAAGGAAAGTCTCAAAGCCACCTCCATTAGTGGTAAATGGAAGTCCTCAGGGATAGGAACAAGAGGTGGGTTTTCAGGGTGCTCCTAAAGGTGAGGAGGGTAGGTGACAGTCTGATGGATTGGGGTAGTGAGTTCCAGAGGATGGGGGGAAGTCCTGGAGAAGTCCTGCAGTCGGGCATGGGAGGTGGAGATCAGGGAGCTAGAAAGTAGGAGGTCTTGTGAGGAGCGAAGAGTACGGGTTGAGTGGTATTTGGGTATCGGGTTGGTGAGGTAGTTTGGGAACTTTAACCACATGCCACCCAGCCACTGTAGAAATACGGCGGCAGGGCAGCACGGCTGGGCAAAAAAAAAAACGTGTGTTTTGAAAACAGGTAGGGGGCCCGCGCGAGGCGCGCCGCCACCCTACCTGTCCCGCCGATCACAGCCGCGGATGTCAGTCGCCGGGTCACAGCCAGTCGTTACCAGCTATGTCCCGGCGATCTGCGGCAATCGCTGACAGAGAGCACAGCTGCAGTAGCTGTGCTTTCTGTCAGTTCCCTGACAGCTCCAGGACACGCTGATCCAGACAGAAGAGTTTCCCTCTCCCGATCAGCAGTGTTCCCTGCAGTACACACCCCCCCCTAGTAAAACACTCCCCTCACACAGTTAACCCTTTCCCTGAATATTAAACTTAACCCCTTCCTCCCCAGTGCCATTAGTACAGTGTCAGTGTTTTTTTTTTTGCACTGATCACTGTATTGGTGTCACTGGGGATGTCAGTGACCCCAAGTCAGTACCCCCCAATGTCAGAATATCCACCGAAGTTCCACCATAAGTCGCTGATCGCCGCCATAAGTCACTGATCGCTGCCATAAGTCGCTGATCGCCGCCATTATTAGTATAAAAATCCCAGTATCTTTCCCACCATTTGTAAACGCTATAACTTTCACGTAAACCAATTAATTTACACGTATTGGGTTTTTTTTTAGCAAAGACATGTCGCAGAATGCATTTTGGCAGAAATGTATGACTAAATTTGATTTTTAAATTTTTTTTTTACTGGACATGTTTTATAGCAAAAAGTCCAAAATATTGTTTTTTTTCCTCAAAATTGTCAGCCTTTTTTTTATAGCGCAAAAAATAAAAACCGCACAAGCGATCAAATACCACCGAAAGAAAGCTCAATTTGTGGGAAAAAAAAGGATGTAAATTTCATTTATGAAACGCACAATTGTCCGTTAAACTAGCGCAGTGCTGTATAGCAAAAAAATGGCGTAAATTGCAGTATCTATACCATAGTTTGTAGATGCTATAACTTTCACACAAAGCAATCAATATACACTTATTGGGATTTTTTCTTACAAAAACATGGAGCAGAATACATTTTGGCCTAAATTTATAACCAACTTTGAGTTTACTATATATTTTTTATAGCTGAAAGTAAAAAATATTGTTTTTCTTCAACATTTTTGGCCTTTTTTTGTTTATAGTGTGAAAAATAAAAAGCGCACAAGTGATCAAATACCACCGAAAGAAAGCTCTATTTGTGTGAAAAAAAGGACATAAATTTCGTTTGGGTGCAGCATTGCATGACCGCGCAATTATCAGTTGAATTAGTGCAGCGCCGAGTAGCAAAAAGAGGCCTGGGCATTAAGGGGGGTAAATCCTCTGGAGGTCAAGTGGTTAATGGCATCCCAGTCTTAGTCCGTAGGGTTCAATATTGAGTTGGCCCCGCCCTTTGCAGCTATAACAGCTTCAACTCTTCTGGGAAGGCTGTCCACAAGGTTTAGGAGGGTATCTATGGGAAGGTTTGACCATTCTTCCAGAAGCACATTTGTGAGGTCAGGCACTGATGTCGGGGGAGGAGGCCTGGCTCACAGTCTCCACTCTAATTCATCCCAAAGGTGTTCTATCGGGTTGAGGTCAGGACTCTGTGCAGGCCAGTTCAGTTCCTCCACCCCAAACTCACTCATCCATGTCTTTATGGACCTTGCTTTGTGCACTGGTGTGCAGTCATGTTGGAACAGGAAGGGGCCATCCCCAAACTGTTCCCACAAAGTTGGGAGCATGAAATTGTCCAAAATGTCTTGGTATGCTGAGTTCACTGGAACTAAGGGGCCAACCCCAACCCCTGAAAAACAACCCCACACCATAATCCCTCCTCCACCAAACATTACACTTTGCACAATGCAGTCGGGCAATTACCATTCTCATGGCAACCGCCAAATCCAAACACATCCATCTGATTGGCAGATAGAGAAGCGTGATTCATCGCTCCAGAGAACATGTCTCCACTACTCTAGAGTCCAGTGGCAGCGTGCTTTACACCACTGCATCTGACGCTTTGTATTGCACTTGTTGATGCAAGGCTTGGATGCAGCTGCTCAGCCATGGAAACCCATTCCATGAAGCTCTATACACACTGCTGTTCTAATCTGAAGGCCACACCAAGTTTGGTGGTCCTTAGCTATTGACTCTGCAGACAGTTAGCGACTTCTGCGCACTGTGCGCTTCAGCATTCATTGACCCCGCTCTGTCATGTTACGTGGCCTACCAATTGGTGGCTGAGTTGCTGTTGTTCCCAGTTGCTTCCACTTTGTTATAATACCACTAACAGTTGACCGTGGAATATTTAGTAGCCAGGAAATGTCACGGATGAATTTATTGCACTGGTGGCAACTTCTCACAGTTTGATGCTTGAATTCCTGAGAGTGACCCATTCTTTCGCAAATGTTTGTAGAAGCAGTCTGCATGCCTAGGTGCTTGATTTTATACCCCTGTGGGCATGGAGGGGATTGGAATACCTGAATCCAATGATTTGGAGGCAATCGCTGAATCCAATGATTTGGAGGGGTGTCCCAATACTTTTGGCAATATAGTGTATCTCCAGTTCAACCGTCCTGACCCAGTGCCAAAGCAAGTGCCAGGTGCTCTGCACCAGTGAGGATTCCAATCTTGTGTCGGTCCAGCACAGCAGCCCCCTGTCCATACGATCTCTCCTCTCCCCCTCACACAGTGGGAGGAAGATAACGCTACAGTAGAGCTGCTCCACCTCTCAGCTGTCTCCCCAAACTCCGACTCCCACACGTCCTGGGTTGCAGCGGCTCCCACCGGTAAGGAGAGTTAATTGGGGTCTTTAGGGGGGGGGGGGAGGGGACTCTGACCTAATTACTTCTGTAAGGGAGATCTAAAGCAGGTCTCTACGGAGTGGAGTTTGGGGGTGCTAGGGACTAAAGGGGGGTCTTGAAGGGGGGACTGCTGATCTAATGATTGGTGACCAACCATTAGATCAGCAGTCAGCACTCCCCATTACTGTATCAACCTCCCCA